CGGATTGCAGTGGTGCAGTCTCCGCTCACTGCAACCTCCGCCTCCCAGGTTTAAGCAATTCTTCTGCCTCAGCCTCCCGAGTAGCTGGGACTACAGGTGCATGCCACTACACCCAGCTGATTTTTGTATTTTAGTAGAGATGGGGTTTCACCATGTTGGCCAGGATGGTCTCGATTTCTTGACCTCATGGTCTGCCCACCTTGGCCTCCCAAAGTGCTGGGATTATAGGCGTGAGCCACCATGCCCGGCCATTTTTCCTTTACCCCTTTTTCTTTTTTTGTAGACAGGGTCTTACTGTGTTGCCTAGGCTGGTCTTGAACTCCTGGCAAGCGATCTGCCCACCTCGGCCTCCCAAAGTGCTGGGATTATAGGTGTTAGCCACCTTGTCCGGCTCTACACTCGGGTTTTAATCCTGGCTCTGCCACTTACTAGCTGTGTGACACTAGCAAGTTAACTTCTCTGATCTTTAGTTGCTGTGGAATGGGGAGCTTGGTAATGAATTCAGCTTACCATGCCCTCATGAATATAAAGGGTTTAGAATAGGAACTGGCATACAGACAGTGCAGAATAAACGTTAGCCTAAAAGGGGGAGAAACTGCATTTTGCCAGTGAGCTCAAAGTCCATGGCCATGTATGTGCAAATGGAGGTTGGAAACCCTCGGGCAGGGATGTTTGGTAGTCGCTGGAGCTCTGACTGCAAATAATAATCATGGTGCTGTAGTTTTAGAATTATACATCCACTCAGGATTCACGAGGTGCCTGGACTTGTTCTGATACATGTCTGTCTTTTGACTTCCCACTATTTCTTTTTATTTTATTAAATTTTTTTTTTATCTTTTAAAAGATGGGGTTTCACCAGGATGGCCAGGCTGGTCTTGAACTCCTGACCTCAGGTGATCCACCCACCTCGGCCTCCGAAAGTGCTAGGATTACAGGCGTAGGAGACACCGCGCCCGGCCTCTGCCTCCTATATTTACAGGTAAGAAAACTGTCAAGCAAGAGAGGTTAAGACTCTAGTCCAAGGTCTGTGCTAAAGCCAGCCCAGCGGACTGTCGCCAGAAAGAACCAACGGGAAGGAGGTCAGAAGGAGCCAGATCCGCCAGTGCCAGCCCTCTCTCGGGCTCCCTGGGGAGGAGAGGAGTCCTCCCAGCGGGCGAGGACTGCAGGCGGCCCAGGCTAAACGTGCGGCGAGTCCCGCGCTCAGAGGTATCCGTGCCCCGCCCGCCTCCGCCCCGCCCCTTGCCCTGGCTTGTCCAATCCCACAGTGTTCATGTAAATGAGGCACCCAGAGAGCGCCTAGGCGAGCGTGGCAGGGGTGTGCCTTCCTTCTACCGCCCGAGCATCGCTCTGATTCATTGTTAAAATAAAGACGCCGTGACCCTGGTACTCCCTCCCCGGCAGCCCCTGTGCGTGGAAACCCAGCCAAGGTTAGTACTAGACCGCGGAAAAGAGGAGCTGGTTGGGGGCGGCCCGCGGGAGGGGTAGGGATCGAGGGATGCTGGGAGGAACTGGGTGAATGGCTGGATAGAGAGGGGTCCCGGGGCCATTCTCCGGGTGGGGCATGCGTAGCTGCTTAAGGTTTTGATTTTTATATCCACATCTCAAGTGCATTTTAGAGAAGGATTCTGCCTATTGCTTGTGGGTAGGGGAGAAAACGGGAGCAGCGAGGGGCACGTGGAGTAGATTCCCCTACCCGCCCTCCGGAAAATGAGCGGCGTTCTCCTGCTAGGGGACGCTCCATTATGTGGCCAGACCAGGAGAGCAACGCCCAGGACGGGCGGGGCCGATGCGTCCCCTTTCCACCACCAGGAGCCGGGAGGACAACCGTCTGGGGAAGATCAGAAACCCTGGGGCCACGGAGGGGCCAGTGGGTGCCCCTTTCCCCACCGTGCCCTGCCGTCGTCCCCACCCCATTCCCTTCTACAGGTCTGATGGTGGAGGAGCGGAGCCTTGCCTTGGCTCTGACTGTCCCAGGGGAGGAGGTCAAATTCCTCAGCTCACCAAGACTGGCAACAAAAGCCTGATCCCCTGGAACGCACCAGGTGAAGATGGATGTGGGCAGGTGACCTGGGGGCACCAAAAGCTGCATGTGTTTTGGGATGTTGCCTTCCTCCCTCCCCCCACCCTTCCCCTGGGACTTTGTTTGGGTAGGGAGGGCATCTTTAAGTGACTCTCCTGACCCAGTTTCACTCCAGGGCATGGATGTTGGAGTCCCCAGGGGCACCCAGAAAGAAGAACCCTTGCATAAGTGAAGACAGCAGGGTTTCAGAAGGGCATGATGCTTCACACCTCGAATCCCAGCACTTTGGGAGGCTGAGGGGAAAGGATTACTTGAAGTCAGGAGTTCAGGAGTTCAAAACCAGCCTGGGTAACACAGCAAGAGCCTTTTTTTTTTTTTTTCTTTTTTTTGAGACACCCTGTTGCCCAGGCTGGAGTGCAGCAGGGCAATCTTGACTCCACTGCAACCCCCACCTCCCAGGTTCAAGCAATTATCTTGTCTCAGTCTCCTGAGTAGCTGGGATTACAGGTGTGTGCCACTACACCCAGCTGATTTTTGTATTTTAGTAGAGATGGGGTTTCACCGTGTTGGCCAGGCTGGTCTCAAACTCCTGGCCTCAAGTGATCTGCCTCCCTCAGCCTCCCAAAGTGCTGGGATTACAGGTGTGAGCCACTGCACCTGCCAAGGTCCCATTTTTACAGAAGAAAAAATTTAAAAATTAGCTGGGCATGGTGGCATGCACCTGTGGGCCCAGTTATTGGGGATATTGAGGCAGGAGGATCATTTGAGTCTGGGAGTTTGAGGCTGCAATGAACTGTGATCAAGCCACCGTACTCCAGCCTGAGTCACAGAGCAAGAGCCTGCCCCCACCTCCCCAAAAACAAGGGCTGGGCATGGTGGTTCACACCTGTAATCCCAGCACTTTGGGAGGCCGAGGGAGGCAGATCACCTGAGGTCAGGAATTTGCCTGGCCAACATGGCAAAACCCTGTCTCTACTAAAAATAAAAAAATCAGCCAGAGTGATGGCACATGCCTGTGATCCCAGATACTACCTGGGGGGGCCGAGGCAGGAGAATTGCTTGAATCCAGGAGGCGGAGGTTGCAGTGAGCTGAGACCATACCACGGCACTCCAGCCTGGGCGACAGAGTGAGACTCTGTCTGAAAAAACAAAACAAAACAAAAAGAGACACTAGGGTTTATTTTTGGCTAAGCTCTGCCACAAACTTGCTGTGTGACCTTAGGCTGTTCACTTTTGTCAAAGACGTTGTCCTCAACTCTGAAAATACCTGGGCAGGCCTTTGCTGCCCTCCCTGTGCTTTCCAAGGACCTGTGTGAGTTGGCAGTGTGATGCTGTGCCCCTCACTTCCACCTCTGAGAGAGCAGGGACACACACGGACCTGGATTTGAATCAGCCACTGTGACCTTGAGGGAGCTAAGGAACCGTTCTGAGCCTCAGTTACCTGATCTAAAATTAGGATTAATTTGATTTACAATGCAGAGTAGCTATAAGACAAGGACACTAAAACCTTAGGATGCATTAGAATCACCTAGAGAATCACTTCTTTATTTTTATATTTATCTATTTATCTTTTTTTTTTTTTTTTTTTGAGACGGAGTTTCGCTCTTGTTACCCAGGCTGGAGTGCAATGGCGCGATCTCGGCTCACCGCAACCTCCG